TGCTGAGTGGTCTGTGGGGCAAGGGCAGAGGCAGGGGATTCATCAGGAGGCTGTGGCAGCCATCACACCAACGTTGATGAAGCTTGGACCAGAGCGAGTGGGAGTGGTGAGACGGGGTCAGATCCTGGCCTTGTCTGGAAGGTAGAGAACAGGAGTTGCTGACTGATGGGTGTGGAGTGAGAGAGAAGGAGGCATCACTGATGATGTCAAGGTCTTGAACAGTGGGCAGGCTGCCGGTGCCATTACCTGTGAGGAGAGAGGGGCAGGCTGGGAAGAAGGGGTAGAACATGAGAAGCTCAGATTTGCTGCCTAATTTGGGGGTGCCTGCCCGTGGCGATGTCAAGTGGGCAGCTGGATAAGTGCATCTGGAGGAAGGTCTGGGTTAGAGGGGCAAGGAGCAGGGAGAGCATGGCCACATACATAGGTGTCGAGGCCATAAGACCAGCGACAGCCCCAAGGAGCCAGGGCGGAGGGAAAGAGGTGAGACTGGGCCCTGCGGCTCTCCAACATCGCGAGTCAAGTAGGTAAGCAGGAGCCAGGGAGGACACTGAGGGAGCCGAGTGGTGTCCTGGGAGCCCAGTGAAGAAAGTGGTCAAGGAGAAGGATAGTGAGCAGGTGCTGAGATGAGGTGGGGGCTGCCCACTGGGCTTAGCTACGAGAGGGCACCGGTGGCCACAGGAGGGCCTCTTGGGGGCAGGGAAGGTAAGAGCTGACAGGAGCTGTCCAGGAGGGAGCAGGAGGCTACACTGTCCATCAGGGAGTTTTTCTAGAAAAAAAAAAGAAGCTTGACCAAGAGAGGACTTTCCTTATCTTTTCTTGTATTTTTTTTTTATGATGGGAGGATCAACAGCGTGCTTGCACAGTGATGCACATCAGCAGTCCTTTACGAAGGACGGCTTAATCCCACTCAAAGCCTGTTTTCGTAAATACATGTTAATGGGAGCACAGCCCTGCTTGTGTTGCTTTCGAGCTGCCTATAGCCGCTTTACGCCAACACAGAGTTGAGTGGTTGTGACGGAGACTGTATGGCTCACAGGGCCTGACAGAGTGACTAGCTGGCCCTCGGCAGACAATGTTTGCTGATGAATGGTGTAAGGGATCCAGGCCCAGGGCGGCAACAGATGTGCCGAGGGAGACCTGCTGCTGAGATGCCCTGGAGCAGGCGGAGCGGGAGGACCTGCTGAGCAGGTAGGGGGCTGGCCTGATCTGGGGGCACAGACGGACAGGCGAGAGGAGAGAAGGGGCCCTAGCCGGTTTGGCTCGGTGGATAGAGCAGGGGTCCTCAAACTACGGCCCGTGGGCCACATGCAAATACAAATATTGTATTTGTTCCCGTTTTGTTTTTTTTTACTTCAAAATAAGATATGTGCAGTGTGCATAGGAATTTGTTCGTAGTTTTTTTTTAAACTATAGTCCGGCCCTCCAACGGCCTGAGGGACAGTGAACTGGCCCCCTGTTTAAAAAGTTTGAGGACCCCTGGGATAGAGCGTCAGCCTGCAGACTGAAGGGTCCCAAGTTCAATTCTGGTCAAGGGCATGTACCTTCGTTGCGGGCACATCCCCAGTAGGGGGTGTGCAGGAGGCAGCTGATGATGTTGCTCTCTCATCAATGTTCCTAACTATCTCTCTCCCTTCCTCTCTGTAAAAAATCAATAAAATATATATTTTTTTTTAAAAAGAGGAGAGAAGGGGAGTGTGCCCACAGGGGGGCGGGTGTGCGTGGTGGTGGGACCTCTGGAAGGCCTCTTCTGGCAGCTTCTGTTTTCTCAGGCCACCAGGTGACTGCGTGTTGGGCTTGGGGAGAGAAGGTGTGAGAACTACTAGGACAGGAAGATGAGGGAACTAGGGCAGCACAACGCGCTCGCTGGGCTTTGCGCTGAGATGATGATCACGATTAAAGTGAAGCCAGTCACCCAGGCCGTACACTCCTCTGGCTTCCTTCTTCTGCGTGGGCACCAGCGTGGGGTCCGTGGACATTCAATCCACTAGGTCTGTGGCTTAGCCAGGAGAATGTGCTGAAGGGAAGGGTATGCTGGCAGCCCGGGCTGTAGCCAGGAGAGTGACTGTAAGCACTGACACTGAGCAAGGAGGGCCGTGAAATGTGGTGGGTGAAGGTGCCCACAGGCTGGAGGGAGCCCGGGGTTGAGGCGTTGGAAGGAGGGAGCTGCAGAGACAGTCAGTGGGCGGAATGGAAGGCCAGGCTCTGGAAGGGGTGTGGCAATGTCGGGATTTAATACTTTTCAAAAATAAACACTGTGCGGGCCAAGAAAACCCACCTGCACCCTGAATGCAGCCAGTTTCCCATCTCTGTCAGATGTCTCCTTCCCCTCTTTTTTCTTAGATATTTTTATTGATTTCAGAGAGGAAGGAAGAGGGAGAAAGAGAAACATCCATGATGAGAGAGAATCGCTGACTGGCTGCCTCCTGCACACCCCACACTGGGGATTGAGCCCACAACCCGGGCATGTGCCCTGACCGGGAATGGAATCGTAACCTCCTGGTTCATAGGCTGACGCTTAACCACTCCGCCACCCCGGTTGGGCTGTCTCCTTCCCTCTTGATGGTGTCCCTGGCTCCCGATCCGCCTTTCTACCCCAGGCCTCTCTCCAGATCTCCAGAACCACACGGCCCTGCCCACCTGGACTCCTCCACCGGGGCAGCCCTCCAGCTCAGCTTGTCATCTTCCCACAAGCCTGCTTTTGCCCCTGTCCTGTCCCCATGGGGGCATTTTGGCGGCCATGGCAGAGCCTGGTCCTACCCTCTCCCCACCAGGTCCATCCTGTGCCCTGTGCATTCCTCCCCTTGTCTCCATCCTGCCATGACACATCGCAGACCACCGTGTCTCTCGGTGACATGATGACTGTGACAGCCTCCAGAGAGGAACCTCAGCCTCCAGCCTTCTGTCCGTCTCCATCTCCAGGGCCCAGCCCGCGCTTGGCCTCTTGTTGCTGTTGAATGAGTGACAACCCCGATGGTTGCAACCTGCAGCCAGAATGCTGCACACTCAGCTGGCTTTGGCTTGTCAGTCACTGAATGGCCTTGTCACTTAGCAGATTTCTGTCACACACCTGCTGTGCACCAGGAGCAGCCACCAATAAGTCTCTTAAGAGCCCAAGGTCATTGGTGGGAAGTCGATAGGTGCGGTCCTCGATGGAGCGTGGCATTGGTGAGCGGGGCTCAGAGCTGGGCATCATGGGGCCTTTCACCAGACTTTGTCCTGGGAGGGCACGTGTTTGCCCAGCGGCCATTCTGTGCCCACCTGTGGCCAAGCCTCAACATCCATCCACAACGTTTGTGCACCAGTCTCCCTTTTCTGAGTGAGGGGCTCCCCTTTGAGACTTCCTCCCTTCCTCCTCTTCCTGTCTCTCTGCCCCTCTGCCCCTCCCTCCCTCAGCGTCCTCACCTTGCCTGTCACTGTGCTCCCTCTCCCGGGGGCATTTGTGTGCACCTTTCTCCAGCAGGGTGGAGTGGACTTTGCACCAAAATGCCTGAGTTCTTGTCCCAGATCCATCACGTACTAGCTGTGTGAGCTCCAACAAGTCACTCAGCCTCTCTGAGCCTCCATTTCCTTAAGTAAAAAATGAGTTGAATTTGTTAGATTGTGAAAAATAGATGTGATTCTCTGTATAAAGCACCCAGTTCAGCGCCAGTACAGATCAGGGCTGAGCAGACATGAGTTTGCACCAACCAGAGATGACGCCTCATCCCACTACACCTCCCCCTCGACCTTTCTTTACATCTCTCCTGGCCCACCCTGAGTGGCAGACGACACAGTAGTTAAGTGCTGGAGAGCTGCTGGTGGGGGCCAGCTGGCATCATCACTGTCCACATGTCAGGGACTACTGGACGCTGTCAATCAGGGCCAGCCATTGTGCAGGCCCCATGCGGCCAGATCTTCCAGTTTTCCAGAGAAATTAGAAATGCAGATGTGCATGTACAATCAACCTCTTCAAAATATTGGCAACAAATTCAATGAAAAAAATATCTGTGGGAACCAATTAAAATACATCTAAGGGCCAATTTGGCTCGGGGGCTACCAGCTTCAACTGCTGCACTAGCTTCGGAGAGTGTGGGTTCAAGTCCCAGCCTTGCTCCTCCCCTGACCTTGGCCGGGCTACAGGCTGCCGTCCGTGCTTCAGGCTCCTCACCTGTAACATGAGTGCAGCAATAGCTAACATGTACCGAGGGCTTTTCTTTCTATACATCGGCCTTTTCTTTCCTCTCAGTAACCCAGTGAGGTAGGGACTGTTAGCAGCTCACGGCCCGAGGCCTGTGCGTGGACCCAGGCAGTCTGGCCCGGAGGCACGCCTGTTAACCTCTGTGCGTGGCCCCGGCCCAGGGTGCTGTGAGGACTGAGATCTCAGCGCACCACGCTGACAGCGTAAGCACCCCAGGCACCGACGCTCTGGGCGTGTGCGTGTCCGTTTACGACCACGGCAATAGCCGCTCCTGGTGGGCAGGGAGTGCCCCCCTCTGATTGTGGCCACCTCTTGGGGCCTTGCAGGTTAGCTCCATGATTTGCAAGCTGGTGAGGAAGAGGTTTAATGGAGGCAGAGGACCTGCCCAGCCTCCAGCCCACCACTCCTGCCTGGGCCTCGCTTGAGAGGGACACAAGAAGAATAAGTCACTGTCCCTGCCCCGTATCCAGCAGGAGCCCAGACTAGCCAGGAACCAAAGAGCAGAGAGCCGAGAGAAGCAGGCCATGGGGCACATGAGTGAGCGGTGCGGGAAGGCCGCAGCTGGCTTGCAGGGTCCTGTGATGGGGGTTAATTTCTTTAAGAGCGCTCCGAAGACAGCAGACACTGAAATTAGCTAGATAGGACCTTTCCGTCTGCTTCTTATTACCCAGACGTCCGGTGGCCAGTCTTTGATCCAGGAACAGCCCTCCTGCCAGCCCCCAGGGGCCCCTCTCCCACACCCCCACCGCGCCTGCCCACAACGATTCCCAGCGCTTGGCCACCAGGACTCCCAGTGACTCCTCTCCTCTGTCTTCTTGTGCAGAAATGGAAGCTCCACTCTCGGAGGCGCCGAGAAGCCCCGAAGACGTCTCCGGGGTGTCACTGCCCACCAGGTAAGGAGCCTGCGAACGGTGACTAGGACGGGACGCCCGCCAGAGGCCCTCTCGTGGGTGTGCTCTGGCCACACCCTGCTCAGGGCATCGCTTTCCATTTGAAAGATGGAATGGCAATATCTGAGGTATTGCCTTTCCTCTACTCATTGATCCGCCCACCCACCCCCTAGCCATCATTCATTCATTCAAACATTCATTCATGCGTTCATGAATGCTCCTATGGGCCTTCACTATATGCACCACGTTGTGAAATCAGACAAGATGACGGGCATGATTACGTTTTGCAAACTCGGAAGGGTTATGCAGCATTGACGAGAAGAGAAGCCCAGGAGGGCAGGGACCAGGCTCATGATGGCCACTATTACGCCTCCAACCCCTGACACATAGTAGGCCTACAAAAGTGTTTGTCACTGGAACGAGCGAAGTATCCCGATGGTAAAACTCCCCTGCCCTTGCGCGCGGGCTTTGGGCGCTTCATGCTGTGTGGTGTGGAGACGACCTCACAAACGCACCCGAGCACACTGCTCACGGTCAAGGTGATGCGGCGCAACCGAGCTAACCAGGCCAATCTGGATGCAGGGTCTGCTCCCGCATTTACTAGCCTTGTGTGGGCGGGTCACCTCCGAGGGCACCCCTTCTAGCGCTTGTTCCTCTGCATAGAGCAACCCGCTCCTCGCCGCGCCTGCTCATCTGGTCACAGCTATGTACCGAGTCCCTGCTCTGTGCTGAGCGCTATGCTGCGTGTTGGGTTCAGTTTCATTGCAAATAGTTAATAATAATGATGAGTTCGTTCATCCGGACTTTTCCAGGTTGCTGACTATTATTATTAAGGCATGAGAATGAGAGACGAGCAAGTTTCATTGTTCCCATGGTAACTGGTATGGGCTGTACTTTTGGGGGGATGAGGAAGAAAGTTCCAAAAAAGGGTTGGGGGAGAAAATAATCAAGTCATCACAGGGGCCTTCCCGATTGGCTCAGTGATTTGCCAGCTGGTGAAGACAAGGTTTGAGGGAGGGCAGGGGACCTGCGCAGCCCCCAACCCACCACTCTACTCCAGACCTCTGCCAGCTCAGAGTGTGGCCCCTCGATACCACCGTGGGCAGGTGGCATTGGCAGAACACTAACTGAGCTCTTTGGCAAGCCCTCCATGGACAGAGGGGCCGAGGAGCCCCAGGAGCCCTCACCATGGTCCCCAAGCCAGGGGAGAGAGGCCAGCATGTATTGAGCAGGTGCGAAGGGAAGGGACAGCATTTTCTGGAGCATGAGTGGCCGAGGTGGGAGTCACAGTGCAGGGGGACTGCCACAGGAGACGGTGGCACCGTGATGCAATTCAGCTGGCCCCAGGCAGAAGAGGGTCATCTGGGTTAATTAAAAGGGTGTCCAGAAGCCCTGGGAAGCTCCCTCCCTCCCTCGGGGCCCAGGAGATTGAGCCCTGGGATCTGGGAATGCTTTGGGGAGAAGAATGCCAAGATTAATGAGATGAGATGAAGGCAAGGCTGGCGTGGCAGGCCGGGTAGCATCAGGGTTTCGAGGGCCGCCCACATTTCAAATCTTCATGTCTGGCATCTCTGTAACTCTGATCAATTGGGGTTGGTCATTTTGCTCAGGGTGTAGCATGTTGGGGAGGGGCAGGAGATTTGGAGCCATGAAGACACAGGTTTGCATTTCAGCTCTGTGTTTACCAGCTGTGTGGCCTTCCGAGAATTATTTGCCCTCTCTCTGCTTTGGTTGCCTCCTGTAAAAATGGGGATAAATTAGTCCCCATCTTGCAGGTATATGCCGATGATTCAGAGAGATAACTGTGGGAAGTATTTAGCACCTTTCCTGACTCCTACTGAGCACAACTATTTCCCCCTCAGTTCCTCTTGCACTTTAAAGACGCTCAGAAATCCTCATGAGGCGCCACATCCTGGTGCTGGGGGCGATGCGGCTGCACATCTGTGGCAAGACAGAGGCTTACCCTTCCCTCCTCCCTGCCTGATTGGGCTTCGCAGGCCCTGCCCCTGTCAGGGTGGGTGCCTAGCCAATGGGTATCAATTTTGTGCTTGGGAGAGTCTGGCTCTGGAGGTCCTGGGAGGCTGGGAGCTGGGGACGATGTGGTAGGAGGGAGGGAGGATTTGGAAGAATGAGAGTTTGCGTGGGACCCCGGGCTCTTGGGTGGGGAGGAGAAAGTGGTGAGGCAGCAGGAGCAGCTCAGAGGTGGTGGGGAGGAGGGGCACATCGGGGTGAAGGGACACAGTGGGGGGGGCGGGGGGAGGGGGTTGATGCAGGTCCTCTGTGGGAGGGGCCACCAGCAGGCCACGAGGTGGCCAGGAGATGGGAGGAGAGAGAGCAGGGGCTTCCAGAAGGGGTGTCTGGGGTGTTAGGGAATTCCCCAGAGGGCAGTTTGGCCTGAAGTATAGACCAGAGCCAGACAATTAACACTTAGGGCATTTAAGACAAGACCCCAAATGGAGGCAAAGTAGGAAGGAGCAAAGTTCTGGAAGGGCTGCACAGGGCACTCAGACACAGAGCCCCAGAGTAAATGCATCTGCTAGGTTGGGCTAGGTCCTGCTGCGTCCCTAGACCTGCCCCCTCTGCCCAGCCCGAGGCTTCTCACCCACTGAGGCCTACGGGCATGTGGCTGCCAACCTGTATGAGAAATGGCAGTTGCCACTGCCCCTCATTGAGCACCAGTTGTGGGCTGGGCGCAGTACTGAGCACATCTCCAAACCGGCAGAGTGGAGTCCTGACATGCATGGGAGTCCTGACAAGTCCCCACACGCATGGGTAAAGCACCACTCTCGCTCGTCCGCCTAAAGCTGCCTCTCCGAGCATTTCCTTAGTCAGGGGTCAGAGTGTAACCTCTTTAGAGCACCTGATACTTACAGAGGACATAGGGAACTGCAAGCGCCACATACAGAGTCAAAGCCTCCTTCCTTGTGTCTTGCCAGCATTTCATATTGTGCCCCATGCCTAGTAGATGCTCAAGGAATGTTCCCTAACCGATCAAGAACCATTGCTGGGTGACTGGATTCTTTCTTGTGTTCCCCGTCTCCCCTCCGGTTGGTTTCTGGTGCCTCGCCCGCTTGGAGCCGCTCTGAGTCTTGCCTGAGGCTGAAATCGCAGCAAATAAACACACACTCTTCCTGCCCACTGTGGCCACTGAGATTGGAGCCGGGAGCCCCGAGCCCAGGCCTGACCCAGTTTGCCTCTGAGACCCGCTGGGCTGAGGTGGGAGCCTGTGGTGGGTGTGTTCTTCCCTGTGGCAGCCTTGGGCCCTGGGTGGCAGCCAAAGGGCTTGGGACACATAATCGTGGGCAGAAAACCCACCTCCTTCCCTTCCTACTCTGACCTTGCCAGCATCCTCCCAGGATCCTCCCTGTCCCAAAATAGCCACGCACTGGCTGCAATCTGGCTGTGTCCTGCTTCTGGCTGCCTGCACTGCTCCAGCGGATGATGGGCCTGGAGGCCGGGACTGGATGCCAAAGGTCGGGCCTCGTCAGGAGGGTCACGGCGGCCAGAAGTTCAGAGGAATAGGTGTGGGCCATGTGCAAAGCATATGGCCTGGCGGGACAGAAGGGCGTTGGGAGCAGATATACAGACCGTGGGACTTCCTAGGCCACTTGAAAGGAACACAAAGATCAGGGACTCTCCCATCCTCTCTCCCTGCTCTTAGTCACAGAGGAGGAGCAGGACAATATAGGCTCCAGGCAGCAAGGAAGCGGCTACTTCAGGGCCGCCACGCTGGGGCTGGGTGGGGCCGGCAGTGTGAGGGGTGCTACGTGCGGACACACGGACAGAACCAGGACCAGCCGAGCTGCGGGAGCGGGTTCCTCCACTGTCCGGGCTTCATCGCTAAGGCGAGGACTCGGTCAGTGTCACACACTGACCACCAGGCCAGAGGTTGGACGACCATAGTGGGGGAAGGGTGACCTGGTCGGGCCTGTGCATAGTGCCATCACCAGGTGGTGGGAGAGGCCAGGGCCATGATTTAGGGCAGGGGTCCTCAAACTTTTTAAACGGGGGGCCAGTTCACTGTCCCTCAGACAGTTGGAGGGCCGGACTATAGTTTAAAAAAAAACTACGAACAAATTCCTAAGCACACTGCACATATCTTATTTTGAAAAAAAAAAAAAAAAAAAAAAACGGGAACAAATACAATATTTGTATTTGCATAGTTTGAGGACCCCTGATTTAGAGTATGCTAATGAGATGCATGCTAATGAGATGTATGCTGATGAGAGGTGCAGATGAAGTGCCAGGGATTCCAGAGGAGCTTGGCCCTCTGGGAAAACGTCCCTGAGGAGGTGGCACTGGAGGCTGGAGACAAGGAACAGGGAAGCAGGTGGGGGCATAGACACAGCTGCCACCATAACTCTAGACCCCAAATACAGGACTCCAATAGCGAGGAGGAAGGTCCCTTCCTTGCAGGCTGGAAGACAGTGGTCCAGGGAAGGGAGGGTGGCCCTGCCATGGTCACCAGGTGGCTTCCGTCTCTGGGCTCCTGTCACTGCTTCATTCTTGCCGTCCCCCTGACCAGCATGGAAGGGGACGGGGGAGTGGAGGGCAGGAGAACTCATGCCCAAACCCTGAGAGCAAAATTAGAAGGAAAACAACCTGACCGCATCACTTCTGCTCCTATCCCATCGGCCAGCACTTAGTCGCATGGCCCCCCAGATCCCAGGGAGCCGGGAGGGGTTTTTTGCTGGGTGGCCACATGTCTAGGTACAACTTAGTTACTCTGGGAAGTGGGAGAACAGATACGTAGGGACAGCTCACAGTCTGCACAGAGGCCCTCCCGGGGAGGCAGCGGCACGGACAAGGCTCTGGGAGTGAGAAAAGGGCAGGGCTACCCGGGGCGGGCAAGCAGGTGAAGGGGCACAGAAGCAGTGATGGGAAATCAGGGTGGGAAAGGCAGCCAAGGGCCAGGCCGAGGAGTTCCGGCTCAGCACCCTCCATTCAGAGGGAGGCAAAGGGTTTTCACCAGGAGAATGATTGGTTGGTAACGGCTGCCCAAG